CTCCACCCAGCAGACTTGAAGTCTGTGTCTAGACTGAGCACCTGCCCTCCCCCTTTCGCTAGTGCTCTAATTAGAGCAGTTAGCTCAGCCTTCTGAGCTGAGGTCCCCAGGGGCAAGGTTGAGCTGTTGTTTTTTCTAGGTTAAATACTGCAGACCCAGCCTTCCTCTGACCCTGGAGACACAACTACTCTGTCGTGAACCATTCCTTCTCCATGTTAGGCAGGGTTGTGCAGAGAGGTCTGGGCAACCGACAGGCCTAGAAGGTCACTTCCTCACATGAGTGTTCAGCTGGAGGGCAGAGGGCATCAGGGAGGCTCACTGAAGTATCATGTCTGATACCAAATTCAGGGTTAGCCAAGAGAACTGCTTGGTACTTTGTGAGTCTCATCATCCGTACATGCCCTTTCGTTTCCAAGGTGGCTTTGACCTGGTGTCGGGTGAGGACCTCAAGAGGTTGTCCTAAAGTAATCTTAGTGGCCTCTGTTGCCAGGAGGGCTGTAGCACAACCACTTGCATACATTCTGGCCACCCTGCAGTTCCTCCAGGTCTTGGGTTAGGACCCGTGTGGCTATTCCCCTTCTTTCTGCCACGTAAGGGGTGAATGGTGTGGTAAGGTCAGGTGCTCCTGAGCTGGGGCCTGGCTGAGAGCCTGCTTTAGTGCCCCCAAAGCCCCTTCTTTTTCTTCACTCCACTCTGGAGGCTCTGAGGCTAGCCCTTCTATGCTTTCATAGAGGGGCTTTACAGTAAGGCCAAAGTTGGGATCCAGATTCTATAGAAACCTGCTGTTTCAGCTTTTTGTGCCACTGTGACTAAAAGACCTGACCAGCACAATTGTAGGAGAGGAAAAGTTTATCTGGGGGCTCATGTTTCCATAGAAGGCCGGCTCCATTCCTTGGGGTTCAAGGTGAGGCAGGACGACATGGCAGGAGAGTGTGGTGGAGAGAGGCAGCCCACGTGATGATCAGGAGGCAGAAAGATCCACTCCATACCAATGCCTACCCCAGCCAGGCCTCCCATGACCAGCCACACCCACCCACTCCAGCTTCCACTGTTAATTCCCATGAGGTGACTAAGTCACTGACGGGGCTAAGGCTCTCACAACCCAGTCATTTCTCCTCTACACCCTCTTGCATGGTCTCGCACATAAGCTTTTGGGGAACACCTCACATCCAAACCATAATACCTGCCATTCCCCCAAAGGAGTGGAGCTGTTGCTTATTGGCCAGTGGACTCAACTCACAAATGGCCCTTATCCTGTCCAGGGAGATTTGTTTGGTCCCTACAATTAATATATATCCCAAATATTACACCCTCTTTTGGGAGATCTGGACCTTCTTTTTAGGTACCTGGCAACCTCTTTCTGCTAAGCAATGAGTGTAGGGTGTTTTGCTTGGAGACCTCCTTGGTTGGACCATATATTAGCAGGTCATCCACATGATCCATCCCCACTTGAACTTGAGATCCTCAAGTACTTTACTAGGGCCCAAAGACATGAGGGCTGTCCCTAACCCCCCTGGGGAAGGACAGGGTTTTCCCAGAGATACTGGGATGACAGAGGCAGAGGGACTGGAAATGCACCCTTGAGACCCAGCACGGTAAACCAAGTAGCGTCTCTGGTGTTTGAAGAGCAAGGTATAAGGGTCTGCACCTACAGGGTGTACAGGGACTGGTCTCAGGTCTTATACTGGCCAGTATTCCCTGCCAGGTTGTAGAACAGGCAAATTGACTCATTATAGGGGAGACTGGCAAGATTTAAGAAGTCCATATTAACTAGCTCATCTATAGTAGGTCATAATCCCTTTTTGCTGCTTCTTTTAAAGGATATTGCTTCTATTTGGGTAATGCTCAGGATCTTTCTGGATCATATGTGCTAGGTGAGTATAAACAGCTTTCTCTGGCCTTGGAGCAAACCAAGCTGCAAGGATATACTTGAGAATCAATCTACAGGGTCACAAATGGCCACCAGGAGTGTTTGGGGGTTGTGCCCTCTGTGAAGCAATGCCCTGAGTTTTGCCATTATTTCTTGTCCTCGTAGTGGGAGAGGAGAGCAGGGTATTATTAGGAATACATGAGTGAAAAACAAATCATCAAACTGGCCAGGTATGGGAAAGGTAAAGTGTCCTTTTTTGTTTCTCCCTTCAAGGCCTACCACAAAAGTGGACCTAGAAGAAGGCTTCCCCCAAAAGCAGTTAGAGCAGAGCAAGTAGCTCCCATTTCAACCAGGAATAATATCCAAGGTTCCCCGAGGCTCCTCAGGAGAGGTGTGATGTCACAGGGGCTTCCGGGCACCTGGGGCATCCTCAGTCAGTCTCCACTGACAGCCCCTCTTTTAGAACAGGGGCAGTCAATTCCCCAGTACCAGGGTCCTCTGGCAAATGGTCCCTTCCCATGTGAAGGGATCTGACGGTGGCCTTTGACAGACTCTTGCCGAGTGCCTGGTGTTTTTGCACTGGAAGCAGGAAGTCTTCTCCTGAGGTCCTCTTACATTTCCTCGGGATGATTTACGGGTCTCAAG